TCGTTACTTTTTCATAAACAAATCAAAATATCAGAAATGACATGTTTACTATATCCAAGTGAATTTAGTAAATGTGATCGTTTAAGTGAAAGATGTTTGTAGATAAACGTCTGTTTCTTAAACAGACAGTAAAAAAAACTTAATTGATCAACGCGTTTACGACCCTCTTGGCTTGTTTGTTTGTTTGAATTTCGAGCAAAGCTATACGAGGGCTATCTGCGCTAGCCGTCCCTAATTTAGCAGCGTAAGACTAGAGGGAAGGCAGCTAGTCATCACCACCCACCGCCAACTCTTGGGCTACTCTTTTACCAACGAATAGTGGGATTGACCGTCACATAATAACGCTCCCACGGTTGAAAGGGCGAGCATGTTTGGTGTGACGGGGATTCGAACCCGTGACCCTCAGATTGCGAGTCGAGCGCCCTAAACACCTGGCCATGACGGGCCCCCTCTTGGCCACCAGCTACAATAGAACCATACGGTCTTGACTCCACGCGTTGTCGAAATAGCCAATAACACTATTTAACTCTTGGTAGGCGTTATATTTTTAAGCATATTCCAAAAATGCGTTGAGTCAGTAGCGTTGTGTTTACCGTGAGAAATAATAGTTGTCATGGTTACATGTTGCATTTCTTAAAGGATGCAATTTATCGTTCGACATACTCAGACCAAACAAGGCAAGTGTACTGCCGAAACAAAGGGACGTAAACCACAAATCCTCAGTCTAGCACGCTAACCAGTGGACCGAGCCAGATCTGTCTCACAGATACTGACGAACGAAGTTTACTTATGTGAAAAAAAGTTTTAACCCACAAACCCTCAATGTTGACCTCTCGTTTCACCAACATACAACAATCCTGTGCGTGCGATGGACGTAACATTATTATATAGTCTGGTTCCGTTTCAGGGGAAAAAATTAACTGTTAAGTCATTTCGTGTTGAAATTGGGTATAAAGTAGTTTACCATAATTTGGTCCTACTGAATACAAAGTTGCTGTATAACAATTTCAATTTCGTGTTTTAAGCCATCAAAATTGGAAAAGAAAAGAAGAAGAAAATGGACCGCCATTTTCGGTCTAACTTGTTTTTTAAATCGTAATATAACTGTGTATACTTTTCCACTATTTACAACTCATATAATACTTTAAAG